CCTACAGCCATACTCCTCGTCCCCCAAATGGATTGAATGATGACGTACTTTGACGGACTAAAACTTTTAATATTTGTATAGTTTGTGCCCTTTTGGTGCCGATCAGTAACGTCACTCACTGCAGAAACGGTCGTGATATGCCGACATCTTTGCAAAGACCTGAAACGACCAATTTTGTATGGGGACACAATGACTGAGAGGACAGAGCTATCGTATCTTTCCTGTCACCTTTCCCCCCTCCCAGACATATCCTGGAACCCCAACGGTGGGAACACTACAGCCAATAAAAGGTCTTCTCTGTTTCTCCAAACCAAGGCCAGTCAGTGAGCTATCTCCATTAAAAATAAATTTACATGTAAACCGACAATCAAATGAGCAAGAGATACTTTGCAACTTTTTCATATTTTAAATACATTTCTTGAGCCAGTTTGTGCTCAAATGATTCTTTACAGCAGTGGTGCTCAGTAGGCGGCCCGGGGGCCAGGTCCGACAGCGCAGGTGTGCAGTGCTGTTTCATTTTATTGTAGGCTTGTGTGTAGTACCGTCAGCACCCACCACCCGGACCAGACCAGACCTCCAGGTCGTTTTGCTGAGTGGCCCTCCAACCATTACATTTGAGTAACCCTGCTTTACAGGGGTAATGAAGGTGCCCCCAGCCCCTATCGCCCCCGTGGCCAGAATATTCCACTTGCAACTTCAGAGTGGCTGGTAATCCGAAAGAGTTCAAATGAAGGTAGCTGGACTTTTTTGGTTTCTTGAAGACGTTTCGTTTCTCGTCCGAGAAGCTTTGTCAATTCTAACTGGATAATGGGAGAGACAAGCTCCTAAGCTGTAGCTGTCTATTATCTATTGTTATGAGCTGAAACTACTCTGGGTACCCCTCCTCTCTTCCCCCTGGTCCAGTCTGTTGGCACTTAGAAAAAAATGGAGCTGGCATACCTTGCCCTGCAGTCTGCTTCCAGCATGTTCATGAGCACAGCTGATTTTATCCTACTTATATTTTACTACCTCCTTACGTGAGCTGTCTTTAGAGAGTGCAAAGCCAATTTCGTTGTACACCTGTGCAATGACAATAAAACAATCTTGAGTCTTGAATTTTATTAATTTAGTGATGAACCGCTCCTGTAGACGCTAATGAAGGCTGAGGAGACATTCCAGTTTCCAGATTAAGTGTTAAAAGACGAGATAGGTTTTGCTTTCTTTGCTACAAACGCACACTCGGGGGTGCTAAATGCAAGCCAAAACGGCCTAGTCTGCCTTTAACATGTTGTTATGGAAACCTGCTTGAATCCAGATCATCATCATCATTATTATTATTATTAAAGCGTTACATTTCAGATTGGAAAACATACGGCTCACATTTAGCTTAACAAACTCCCCTCCTTCCTCATGAAGGAGATACTATCTTTTTAATGACAGTTTGTCTGAGACCCCCCCCCCCCCCCCCCCAGCACTGCCATAAATCAGCAGATCACAGGTCTGCCCCATCTTCCTTCACCTTACCCCCAAGACACTTTCCTCGCCTTCATGAAAAGTGACTCATCTTATATCAATCAAGCCGAGACACCAATAATCACTTGGACCTCCCCTAGTTCTGATTTGCACTTTTGATAAACGCGTCTAGCCCTCGCTATAATTGCACACCTTTTTCATCATAATTTTAATGTTAGTTTCCTGTCATTTGGTTTAGGATGTGCTGCAAGCACGAGGGCTGTAATTTCTACATCAAGGAGGATTTTTATGAATGACGAGCAGGTGGAGCAGACAGAGGAGAATCCATTTTTTACCCTGAGATCATCCGGAACGCAGCTTCTTCCACCGATATTGACAAACTAGCTAAGCGGGCTTGTGTTGCACAAGCAAACAAAAAAAAAATCTCGTACTTGCAGCACAAATAGCAAATGGGAGATAATTAGGGTAATTTCTGTTTGAAGTATTATGCACTGCAATTAAAATAGAACAGATAAAAGATGAGACAATAATAGATCTAATGAGGACCTTGACTGAGTGTTGTTGAACAAAGACCATTTTGTTTGACACAATTCACGCTGCTGATGAATTCTATCCCAAAGAGAGGGGGAAAAAGCTCCTCCGTAACACAAAATGTGTGTTTTTATGCAGCAGTGCTGACCATTAATTTATTTATTTCTACTTTGAGATCTAGCAGCGGTCTTAAAGGAACCGGATAAAGCATCAAAATCTGCTGGTGATAAATTATGCTCTGTGTGTGGATACATTTCTTCTTTTATATAACATGCAAAATGGAGTATCTAAAGTGAGAGACAACTGAATTCAGGTCACAGCACAGCAGGAAATCTTCCTTTTCATGTGAGATCCAGAGGGGTCATTCTTATGAACTCATTAGAAGGAAAAAATGCAAATGTAGCTCTGTGGGTTTTTTCTTACTTTCTACCCTTTTCTCTCTGCTACTTTTTACAAAAGCAAATTGGAGACGCACAGAAATGTAACGGAGAACGCGTCAGGATTTTTGATGTGGAGTGAGCGTGCATCAGGCGTTTGTGATGGGGACTTTAATTGCTGAACTACCATGAACACCTCGTCTTTGTTCGTTACTGGTGTGTGGTGTGTTACTGTACAGCTGCATGCTGCAAAAAGTTTCAATAAATAAATATAGAGAAGAAAATCTACTGCCTGTAGAAAGATGTACATCAGTGAAGCATCGTGCAGAACAAATGATCTCTGATCATAAAAATAGACTCGAATACCAAAAAAGATCAATGGAAGAATTTTTATTAAATAGTTGAAAATGGAATAAAAATGTAAAAATATACCATTTATTCTAATGAAATCATATCATGTAAAGATTTTTTTACCTCTTGAAGCTGTTTTCTTTCATTATGTAACTTTAGTTTTATTTTAATAATATTTTATTTTATTGCACTTTGTGATTTATATCTGTGAAAGGCGCTATATAAATAAACTTTTACTTACTTACTTACTGTATTAATTGCTTTAATTTGCAAAAAAAAAATAAACAAAAGCTACCAACTATTTCAATCATGTTTTTATTTTGTCGGTTTGAAAAAGCCTGGCGAGATTAAAAAGACACGACTGACCAAAATTCAGGTTTTAGACAGTATTTTATGTCTAGAGCAGGGTTCCCTGTAGGGATGTCTGCATGGATCCTTTAGCACCAGTCTGCACAATAAGAATAAAAACATCCTCTTATAAAAGGTTAACAGGCTGTTTGGAATATTTACATTGTCACACAATCACAGAAATAAAGATGATAATTTCATGAGCACTGTAATGTGTTCTGTTATAGGGGGACTATACCCCCCCGCCCCCGCCCCCCCGCCCCTCACTGAATCACGGTCAAGAAAGTGGTCCATGATGCAACAACATTGTGGCACCACTGGACTATATAATACTGCACATGAATACAACACTGACTGTCATTTTGCACAAATCCTTACTTTTATGTGTTCCAATTCGGTGATCATGACATTTTGAAGGCAGACAATCAGCAAAATCATGAAATGTCTGAAGTCAGCATAATTGCCCCTTACAGCAAATGGCATTATTTCATTGTTTCAGACTTATTTAGAAATTTCTGAATCCAAATCAATTCTTAATCTGTGAAAAACACGCAGGGTTGTTTTTAACCTGTATTTGGATGCGTGTTGTTTTTAATGCGTACAGTATTTCACATGCCAAGAAATCAAAATAACAAATAAGTACAGGCTGTTACTGTAAGCCTGATTCCTGTAGTTGTGTTTGGATCACACCTCTGAGGCCCAGCAGGCCCATCTCATCTCCTCTAGCCTCGCAGGCCTCTTCCCGATCCAACAGCTCCCTCCTTTCTCCCAGCTCTGTGAATTAAAACCATATCGAAGGTGGATGCATGAGAGCATTAGAAGAAGAAGAAAAAACACGTGAAAAAAATTAGGTTGCGCCCGTTAGCGAGGTTTTAGGGGGAATCTAGCATCATTTCAGACTGTGCCAGGAAAAAAAAAGGTGCCGCATAATTAAATTAAATACATAATGAGGGAGAACCGACACTTTCTTCAGAGTGGAAATCAGCCAGAGTTTTTACCTTTGTCTCGCAGGTTTGGGCTGGAAACAAGAAATATTGTGTTAAAGGGTCTTTTTTAAATGAAAGGTTTGGTTGTTTTTGTCTGCTCGTGTGAAATCTGTCTAATTAGCTCTCTCTCTCTCTCTCTCTCTCTCTCTCTCTCTCTCTCTCTCTCTCTCTCTCTCTCTCTCTCTCTCTCTCTCCACACACACACACACGCGCGCGCGCTTGTTCCCCGCGTGCTTGTGAGTTTGTTTGAGCGTGGTGTGTGTGTGTGTGTGTGTGTGTGTGTATGTGTGTGTGTGTGTGTGTGTGTGTGTGTGTGTGTGTGTGTGTGTGTGTGTGTGTGCGTGTGTGTGTGTGAGCGGGCGCGTGGCGAGAAGCACGCGCTTTCCGCTGCATTCTGGAATGCTGCCAGTCCCGGCACTTTAGAATCCACACAGCTTCTAAAACCCAAAAGTCTTTGATCTTTTTTTTTTCCTCGCCGACTTCTTACCCGGAAGAGAACCCCCTTCTCTCACCCCTCTCAGTTTCTCCCCCCTCTCAGCTGGGATGAACGCACACGTGGAAATGTTGGCTCGACTCCACGCTCGGACCAAATTTAGTCATACAAAGGCAAAGGGGGGGAGAGAAAGGGGGGAGGAAGCGGGAGGAAGGGGGGGATGAAAGAGCCAGCCGCCGCTAGATCAAAGGCAGCCGCGGCTCCGCCCCGCTAACCCCACCTACGCGCTTTATAAAGATCTGCCTCCACATCCCGACTCCCGATTCTCACGCAATCTCAGACACAGAAAACACGCAACTTTCACCGCTTTCTACTTACTTATTTTAATCTGCGTGTTTTTTAATCTCTAACTTTTTTAGAAACATATTTAGCGACTATACATAATCATCTTTAAAACAAGTTTTCCCGCATTAAGAAATACATTTGGGATTTTTAAACGACATTCTAAAAAAAGAACAGAAAACTATTTTTGGTAGATCATTTATTATAGCATTGTGTTTGTTTTTAGCCTTTTTATTGCGGGAGCAACATGTATTAATGAACTATTTGGGTTAAAAGGGGCAATCAGCTTCAAGATTGAAGCAATGATAATAAAAAGCAAAATTATACAAAAAGTCTTGCTGGGGTTATTAATTCTGCTGGATTTATGCTTTTATTGACAAATTAGGCTCTAGATCATTCATCAAAGCGCTCCAAGTGGGGAGTCTCCCCCTAAAAATCCAACTTTTGTCCAATCTAACATTTACAACAGTTTGCCAAACAAGCCCAGACGCGTCTGTTTTCCCTCTATTTCCATTTTTATTCCTCCTAATTGTTTAAGCCATCACGCACGCAGCGCGTCAGCCTCCTCTCCTCTCCTGTCTGGCCATTTGTCGGGAGCTCTCTCAGGAGGAGTGTCAATCAGAGCCTCGGCTTCCCTTTCATCTCTCCTTCCTCCCAGTGACTGAGGAGGGAGAAGAGGAGGAGGAGGAGGAGGAGGGAGCAGCTACATTACCAACACACACGCACTGGTTACATTACACTGTGGAAACGCTGCGGGTGCAGAGGGAAGTCAGTCCACGGCGGTTTTCCCTTCTCAGGCTTCTGCTTTTTGATTGTTTCCCTTCTTTTTGCTTTCATCTCTCCTCATTTGAGCAGCTGGGTGAGGATGTACTCGAAGCGCCGCCGCGGTGTGTCGCCTCGCTTGTCGCTGAAGTGTTAAAAGTCCGTTTCCTCTCCTCCACTTTCACCTCCAGACGCTTTTTTGGTTTCTTTAAGGCGACTCACTAGTGTTTTTAACTCCGCAGGACCTGAGCAGCCGCTTCGCCGGACCTCAAAGGAAATAATTTGTTCAAACTTTTTATTCGAGGCTCTTTTCACGGAACGTTTTTTAAATGAGTTTGTTTTTGATTATTTCACCCACGTGACTCGTTGTGGTCCTGTTCATCTTTCCGTGTAGTTGAACAGTGAAGACTCCTCTCTCCTCCTGTTGCTTCAGCCTAAGCGCGCGCGCGCACACACACACACCAGCAGCGTGTCCGCAGCCTCCGAGCCGCGCGCTCTCTCTTCTCGGTGGGAGTTGACCTTCCGCCGCCTGCACCGGTGGTGAATCCTAACGAGCCCACACCTCCAGCGGGCATCATGCCTCAGCTATCGGGCGGCGGAGACCCGGAGCTCTGCGCCACGGACGAAATGATCCCGTTCAAAGACGAAGGAGACCCGCACAAGGAGCAGATCTTCGCCGAACTGAGCCACTCGGAGGAGGAGGGAGACCTGGCAGACATCAAGTCCTCTCTGGTCCACGAGTCTGAGAGCAGCCCCAACAGCAACAGCCACGACGTGAGTCCTGCTCGCACGCACGCACGCACGCACGCTGATTGATGCGGGAGGATGCTAAAACTCTCATCAGAGGGCAGAAACTGCGTTTGGAAACGTTTAAAGACGTTTATCTAACTTGAATAATCAGCTAAGTAGCGTTTTGACATGATTTTACTCACATAAAAACCCGAACAAAGCCACTAATTAACCAGTAATTTCTAATTTAGAAAACATGCTTGGCTCTGCTTAATTTCTTTAATCTAACATTGAAAACCACCTAATTCGCCACCACCTGCTGCTCTAAAGAGGCATGGCTCTGCAGCCTACAGGCCGATGTAAGCCGAGGCCTAAAGTAAAAATATCCAGCTGTAAAATCTGCACACATATTGATGTGAAATGAGACATCTGAAGATATGTTTAGGTGTGATCGGGCCTGGTGAGCAGCCTGTGACAGGCAGGCTGCTGTGTGGTCATGGTCCACCCTCAGCTGCCCCAGAACATCAATCCAGACAGCACACCTGGTTTAAATTGTTATTGATTTAACCTGAACGATGATTTTGTTTTTATATTCCTGCTGATTCTGCCTGCTGTTTTTTCCCATCATTCAGATGGTGTCTTTAAATTACAATTCCATGTTTGATTTTATTTATTTTCTTGATCTAAGTAAAAAACAAATAATAATAATTTAAATTTATTTTTTTAAATTACTGATTTACCTCGGTATTTAATCTTCATTGATGTTTAATGATTTTAACATTGGGGGAACATTGAATTGAATGTGTGTTTTGATTCGTTTGGATGCTTTGACCTAAGCAGGAACTCAGGCTTTTACTCTGAAAGTTCTGCCAGCGATCACCAAATCCCCAGAAATGTGAGAGGAAGTGTTGATTAGGATTCCGGTGACGTTCCTTTGCTCAGCTTGAAGTCATCCTGAGGAGGTCCAAAATAAAAATCTGAAAATAACTAAATCCGATTTAGTTGTTTTAGATCTGAGAAGATGAAGGAAGTCCAACATGTTCTGTCTTTATGGTTTTCACTTTTATTCTCCATCATGTGTTTTTAATTCATAACATTAATATACTGCATTTATATGAATAAAAAGATGCTTGAACTCGGATGAAGATGAGTTACCTAAAGGTATTGATGAAAACAAGTTAATTTGTGAGCTCCTTAAGGACATGAAGCTTAATTAAGTAATTCTTCTGGAGCTTTGATGAAGGCGGCTGTCTCCCCTCTGCAGCTAATTGTGAGTGTGTGTGTGTGTGTGTGTGTGTGTGTGTGTGTGTGTGTGTGTGTGTTTTGGACATGTCTGAGTGTGTAACTGCATTTCGAGGCCTTAATGGTTGATTCACCAACGTTTTCTCCTTTGCAGGCAGCTAGACAGTCCCAAATATCACAAGATTCCTACCACGACAAACACAGAGACCATCCAGAAGATGGTAAGTGACACAGCCCTGAGCTACGGAGTTTCATCAGCATGCCGTTTAGCTCAAAACCCTCCAGATTCTTCGAATGGTCCCCAGCAGGATTAGAAACGAGGCTAAGGGGGAACGAACAGAAGTGATTATGCTGTAATTTTTTTTTCTCGTGTTCTGATTTTTCTGATCCAAGTCTAGTCAGGACATGCTTCCTTCATAAACACAGCTCCCTCTTACCTACTGCAGAGATGAGGGTGCCTGCACAGAGGGAGGGGAAAAAAAGAAGATACTCCAAATAAAATCAGGAAAATCCGCCCCTATCTGATTTGTTTTGTGTTTTCAAATGCCTACAGACCGTAAAATCCCATGTGAAGTCTGGTTATTTCTAATGGCCCAGTGAAACCCGCCCTCCTGTCCATCAGCTCTCCGGCCGTGCTGTCACATCAACATGTTGCTGCCCCCTTGGGACTCGTTGCTCCCTGGCTATTGTAAGCCTGACCCCGCTGCTGCAGGTCATCATTAGAGCTTTTGAAGAGGAGCGTGTCTACTCTTTGTTCCCCTTTCACTCGTGAAGGAGACCCCCCCCCCACCCCCCAAACCAAACATCGGCCTTACTCACAACAAAATCTCTAGCCTCGCCACCGGGCCTGAGCCCCCCCTCCCCCGTGCTCGGCCTTATTAGGCTGCGTGCAGCTGAGTGACGAGTGGCGCTGTATTGAGGCCTCTTATAATAAAGCCCCCCTCTTTCCTTTCGGGTCAAAGTCGCAGAGAAACAGTTGGGGCATCTCTTGTTTTGACACAGTCTGTATGTTCTTCTAATTGGTGCTAATTGGCACCGAGGGGCTCCTTTGTTCCGCCGTACAATACACCCCTCTTCTCTCTGACGGGAAGAAAAGGCAGCAAACAAAAGGCCGAGGCGAAACGGGGCACGGGTTAAAGCGACAAGATGGTGATATTATTACTGCGGCAGGCCAGGTGAAATCCAAGATGGTTTGTGGAGAGGGAGTTCTTGTTTCACCTCGCTTACTCTTTGGTTAGCTCAAACACAAAGCTGTTTTTCTTGGTGTTTTTGATCAGGAAAACATCCAGATATGTACAGTAAAGGCCACCCGTACCCCAGCTACCCAAGTTACATCATGATGAGCAACATGAACAGCGACTCCTACATGAACAACGGCTCCATGTCTCCGCCCATGCCCAGAACGGTGAGTACCAGCTCATCCACAGTGACATCCTGACTTAAACATCAACACATCAGTTAGAGTACAATAAGCCGTTTAATGACTTTTCTCCACGCCTGGTTAAAAACAAAAGCCATGACTCTTGATTGCAGCTTGACATCTGAAGTCACACGCTGCAGAAGATCGTAAAGTTAACCTAACGGATTCTGACTACTGAATAAAAACGCCGCACTTCAAACTCTAAAACAATCCAAAGGATTAAAAAGTCTTGTACTTCTTGTTATATTTACAAAAAGAGGTGTTCAAAGTTTAGAATGAGCTTTTTTGGAGGATAAGGTTCGTATTTCCAGATGAGTTAACATTTTGACCCTCTGCGATTTGATTGTTGGATTACTTTGCTTTTAGTTGTTGTTGTTTGGACTCTTTTTATTATTATTATTATTTAAACACCAAACGATAATCACGTAGTCACAAGAAGCACTGATGAGAATAAAATCCTAATCAGCAGTGTCATGTGACAAGACTTTATTGAAACCACAGTGGGGTTGCCATAGCTACCGCTGTAGGTCCATTCTTTTATAAAACAAACGGATCATTTATTATAATTCATGATATGCGGTAAGTCGTGCAATGAGACACCAAACCTGTTCGGCTGATGAAAACGGAAACAATCTGCTGGTGAATCCACATTTAAACTGGATGTTTGAAATGTTTTCACTGAACTTTCAGGATGAACTTCATGACATCAATTGTCTTTTTTTTTGTTGTAATGTTTGTGTTTAAACTTGTTTAGCTTGACTGCTGTCTCTTGGTTTGAAATCAAAGATCTGTTATCCTATTAAAACACAAGTGATGCCTGTCTGCACGACTCGACAGAACGCTGCTAATTAGCTCAGCACGACAGAGGAAACCTGAAGGCAGCGCCGCGTCTCTGAGGATAACCAACACAAGAGCTTCTAATGCCGACCAGAGGCGGCGCCTGTTCCACTTATCTGCCCTCTAACTGTATTAATTTCAGGCCAGCTGCAGGCCTCTCTTCCTGCTGGCTCCTTGTGTCTGTCCCATTTGCAAATTTTGCCTCCAAAAGGCAGACACGGGATGCAGAAATCACCAGCAGCTGTGCAGTCCACCCTAATCCCGGTTGGTCCCTGTCTCTGTGTCTCATGTGAGAGGGCGAGTTTCTGTCCGTCTCGCAGCCAGGCGCCGAACACCGGAAGCACCGCCACATGGCGAGGAGCAAAAACCCAAAGCAGCTTGTTGTGTTTTTGCAGCACATGCGAGTTTCGGCAGTGTGAGCTCTGTGTTGTTGTGAGAGTCTGTTTTCTGAAGCAGATGTGATTGTCAGGAGGGCAGAAGCCACATGCTGAGTGCAAAGGCACTTCTTTCACACGCAACTCTATCGTGGAATGATGTGAACGTTGCACAGCTTCTCCTCGGGATGTGCTGCAGAAGCATGGGATCGTGTGGGGAGGGGAAATTCCAGCTTTTCCCTGGTTTAGTTAACATATAATGCAGGGAAATGTGGGACGTGTTTTCCAGATTCTCTTGTGCTTTGGCGAGTGTCGTTTGGTGGTTCTGATCAGCTCTAAAGTTTTATATGGAGACCAGCGGAGTGTGTGAGCAGAAAATGACCACAACGTTCAGATGCTCAAGGCTAGGCGGCGCATTTGCTGCCAAAACGTTTCAAACCTCAATTAAATTTCTTACTGTGGTGGTTTGTTTTCTTCCCCTCTCAGTCCCGCTTCATCTTCTATAAAACTGTAGTCACTTTCTGTACATTTCTCTTATTTGTCCAACAACAATAGCCAGTGTTTGGTAGTAGGATCATGGAATACGAACGCTCTGGTGACTGATGTCAGCTCGCTGCCTCTGCTGCTGGCCACCGCCGCCACAGTATCTGCAGGCCTGGGATCAGTTTTCACCCAGATCAAAGCCACATTCTCTCTCCCTCTCTTTCATTCTCTTCCAGCCTGAGCACCCCACCCCCCAAATCCCAGCAGTTTAGATTGATTTCCATTGAGCGTGACATTCCTGCACATGCTGTCCGCTCCTGATGGAGACGTCAGGACAAGAGTTGCTGATTGTCAGCAGATTTTTGGGACTTTTGGCTTAACGAGCTGCTGCAGAAGCTCAGACGCTGGGGTTGAAGTAACCAGCATGCCAGCTGCTTCATGCCATGGAAAAATAAGATTTTGTGACATGTCTTCACTAAATGCAGCATGTGAAGGAAGTCGTGTCTAATCATATCCTGATACCTGGTCAGATCTGATGAGCTTTATTTGACCTTTGTGTATCCACAATACCAGCGAATAGCCTGGACCAGGGCTGTTCAGTTCGGATGCGGGAGGGCGAATAACCAGCACAATTATGATTCTATTTCAACACACCTGATTTCAATCAGCAGGTGATTAACGGGTTTCTGCAGAGCCTGATGAGCTGCTGCACCAACACGTGCTCCCAACGCGTCGGAAACAAACGCTTGGTCAGTGACCCTCTGCGTCAGACCCCAACGCCAAAAGTGTCTATTTCGTCACAGCTGGACGAAAAGAGGGTTTTCCCACTGCAAATCTCAATGCAGCGTAAAAATGACGCAGTGGGAATTTTGCTGGCACTGAAGCAGCACATTTCAACGCATCCGGACCTTGACCGTCTAGCTATTTAACTCATTCGCTGCCAACGTTTCTCACCGTTTTTACTGTTTTTTAAGAGTCCCAGAACGTTGCGCGCTAGGATGATGTCGACGCCAAAACAACCAAAACAAAGAGGAGGCTCACCTCTCACATCAGGAGGAATCCGCGCGTTTCGAGCGTTATCCGTTCTTTCATAATCCGTTGTTGAAATGTGATCAGCAGACGCTTTTCCAGTTCGCGCCTCACTTTTTTTACAGCAGCGGCCCAAAACGATCTCCTAACACATGGATGTTCTGGTTCCTGATCACGTGACGTATGCGGATGAAGATCGTCTTTAGAGCTGAGATGTTTGTTTTCACGGTGCGCGGGCTCGTTCCAATGCCCACACACTAAAAACATGCCAATGACGACTTGACGACTTTAGTCGTCATTGGCAGTGAATGAGTTAAAACCTTTACTCACCCGTGGTAACCTTAACTGTCTTGCTGCCTCTTTTTTATTTATTATTTTTTCCCGTGTCCGGTTTGGCTGTGAAGCAAACAGAAATGATGTCTGAATGTTGATGACAAGCCTTACAGATTTATTCTCAGGTGGAGGATCAAAGCTTCTGCTCTTAATGTCACGCCTGATACTTCAAACATTATTGTTTTTTGAATGCTTGTGATTCCGACCAGACACGGAGACAGAGGTGAAAGTGAGAGAGGGGGGGGGGGGGGACTGTCTCACCCAATGCTAATGTTTCCCGCCTCACTATTTGGAACCTCGCCTAGGCCCCAAACCAATACATTCTCAGTGCAAACGCGTGGGACGGACACGATTTGTGAGGGTAAGGTTAGAATTAGCAAAAGGGTTAAAGAGTAACTAAACCCCAAAATGCAAAACGTGGAGGGACACTGTTTTTGTCTCCTACACGTTGGGAGTGAGAATGTTGCCTCACAACTGATTCAACCACTGGATCAAGTGTGTTGGAGCAGAGAAACCACTAAAACATGCTGGATACCGGCCCTCCAGGCTCGAACTTGACTACCCCTTGCCTATACTGACGGCTTGCAGTGGGGAAATGTTTCAGCGGGGACTGATTTCACTGCTACACTCTAACACCACAGCATACGGCCAAGTCCCAATACATCTCCACCCTTTCAGCCTTCAATTACGCATTCCCGTCCAGGGGTGTGAGTGCGCAGGGTGTCCCGATCCTCAAGTTCGGAAGTTGACCACACCCCTTTTGCACACTTGGGGCTGGTGCCTATCTCCAGCGGTCAACGGGCAATCAGGCGGGGTACACCCTGGACAGAGAGCCAGTCCATCGCAGAGCAACACAGAGACACACAGGACAAACACACACACACACACACACACACACACACACACACACACACACACACCTAAGGACAATTTGGACAGACCACTCAACCTAACATGTTTTTGGACTGTGGGAGGAAGCCGGAGTACCCGGAGAGAACCCACGCGTGCACAGGGAGAACATGCAAACTCCATGTCGGGAAGCGAACCCAGGACCTTCTTGCTACAAGGCAACAGCTCTAACCACTGCACCACTGCGCAGCCCGTGTTGTAAAAATAGTTATGTTTGTTTGTTTGACTTCCTCGATTGAAGCATTTTTAGATGCATCAGATGAATTCACGTCTTTCGTGCGTTCTGTTGACCTTTTTGATGTGTAGAAAGATGAAAATACCTCCTTGTAATGTTTGCCGGGTTTGATCTCAAAAGCAGCGTCTTGGCTCAGCGTTTGATGTGTGGAAGAGGATGAGCTCACAGGTTTTTTCTTTATTTTTGAGGAGTTTTGCTTCTCCAGACTCCCAGACACCGAGGCTTGGGGTTGGAACTGACAGCTTCTTAAACGAGATTTGTCATGCACGCGCTAGTCCGTGCATATTTTTAAACGACCCGAAAAAATACTCAGTCTGCCGACATCAGACAAACTCCTGCTCTGCACACTCCTGTATAGGGTTAAACAAGTGGTCATGGCGGCGTTCAGTCGTATCCTTTGTGCAAACACACACGTGTGTGTTTGATGAGATGGATACGCTCTGGGTTTTTAAATGTTGATGGTGCGTAGATGCAGCACGAGGGCTTTCACCTGACTGTGAAGATGTGTTGGTGATCTTCTGCTGTGTTAGAACAGTCTTGTGAGTCTTCGGAAACGGCTCGAAGATAAAATCGAGGAGAATCGCTGTCTTCTTAAAATGTTTTTGCTGTGATGATGGGGATTTAAAGAGAGCTCTCTTCATAGCCCTGCTTTTTTCTCCTTCCCCTTTGGACCTTCAGTTGCGGATCCTTGTGGTGAGAAGGAGGAGGGTGCAGCACTGCGCGGCCTTTGATGTAGTGAGAACGTGACGGATCTGCTAGCCGGCGTCTCGCAGCGTGGAATCGCT